ATCTAATAATGCTCCTCTCTACTTGCCATGCACAGTGAAAGGTCCAAATGATGACTGTATCTCTTCCACGCAGAAGAGAGCTTAGCGAGTTCTGCTTGTTCTCCCAGAGGGAAGTAGTACCAGACTTGGGGACATCCTGGAATCATCTTACTATTCTTGCAAGTTACAATAAATATCTAAGAAGCAGCTGTTCTTCATGTCCATTCTCACATGCTGACTAAGGTGTTGACACTAAGCTGGCAAAGCCTGGATCCATTGGTCTTGCTGCACATGCACCATGTAACCGAGCTGCGTGTGCTTGGTGGCCCTGTACTCTGGACAGCCAGTGGCCTTCGTGGAACTACTGCTGGTGCTGGGAATGCCTATGGAGCAGCTGCTCTTCTCCCTGAGCTTCTCTGTCAGGAAATCCCAGGCAGGTTGTCTCTACTGGCAGAAGGCTCAGGATCGTCAGGGAGGAAGGAAATGTATCCAAGTCAACCCCCAAACTTGGTAACTTTATATGGAACGTATTCTGAAAATTCAAGGGAAAAGGTACTGGTGATATGGATGGAGATGAGAAACTCCTTAGATACTGAAAAGTATCAAGGTCTAGGATGACTAGTCAGTAATCCTAAATACTGTAATTGCAAGTTCATATAAATGTCTCAGAAGTTGCTGTTGTCTGTGTTTGTTCTTACCTACAAACTGTTGTTTTTATGTTTATTAATGGTAAATAAAGACATGAGTATTGTTGATTAAATTGCATTATTAAATACACTGGCATTTCTTTGAGAGTAACAGCTTGAAAAGCACATAAGCAGAGAGAGGAGTGCTGACAAAACAAGGCTGTAGTCTTTTGGAGTATATAAAAAAAAATAAAAAGGAGGATAAACTTCTTTTTCTTAGGAAGAGCTGGCTGCCATGATCTGTGTGCTTAGGCAGTACATTTTTTCAGAGAACTTGCACTTAATGCACTTAAAAGAGATAAAACTGTAGTAGTTAAAGTAAGGAATTCAGTATTTTTCTGTCTGTGTTTCTGACAGACCCTTCTAAAATCTCTTTTTATTTGTGATGGCAGCTTGTTTGAGTACTGTAGAACAGATGTTACAGAGCAGGCTCGGCCCCTGGAAATTTTCTTTGTAGTGTCCTATATTAAAAAGAATGGAAGGAAATGAGAGTATAGAAACCCTTGTTCTGGCTGAAGAGCTTATTGCTCCCAGATGCTTCCATGTGCCCCTCCTCTCTCACTGCAATCAGTCCTTGCACTGCTTTGATACATCAGTTTCAAAAAGGAGGTGGAGATTTGTGTAACCAAGTGTATTGGAAAGGGCAAAACACTGTTGCGCAAACCTGGAATTGAAGCAGGGAGCCTACTTGGGTTGGTGACAGGCATGAAACATCAGGTGGTGATGGCAGGAAAAGAATTACAGTTACCTGATTATCAAAACAGTTTTGTACAGCACATAGATCTCTTTGAGACTTAAAAATTTTGACAAAGCTTGAGTCTACTTAAACACAGGTGTGCAGGGAGATCCCTGTATAAGATGATGTAAGTATAGGTCATGGAAAAAGTCTTAGTGGCTAAGACTTTGCTGCTATTGAGCAGATAGTAAAGTTGTGATATTTTACAAAAGCACATAATTTTTATTAAACACTGAAGACATACACAGCTAGTTAAACATTTTATCATGTCTTTCATCTGCTGTTGTAGACTGGCTCCTGGTCACTGGTGTTTTCACAGTGTGTGAGAGGCTGTAGAACTGTGGTGTACTGGGCTAACCATCAGTACAGCTCCAGCTGTGCATGTTAATTTTGTGTAAGAATTATATGCCTATTCAGAAAACAAAAATACAAGGCATTTAAGAAAAACCTGCTAGGCTAGGTTTTCTCTATAAAATGACCTTCAAGCTGGGGCTGATCCACAGATCCCAAACTCCCATCTAGGTAAAAAAAATTGCCTTTGAATATGTGGAGAATTAGAAATCACATACTTATTTCTGAGAAACTTGGCCTCATTATACAGGTTATTCAGAAGAACTGTAGTGCTGCCTTTAAAGAAATATATTTAGAATGGTTCATAGGAAATCTCTTAATAGAGGTGACACAAGAAAATAAACATCTAGGGAAAGCTTGTAGAGAAGCTGCACGTCTGTTCTTCATATCTTTTCCATCTTGCCATTTTCTTTTGTTAAATCCTTCTTGCTTCTGTTTTCATGTTGTTACTGTTATACAGCTCTTAGTTTATAGGATTAAAAAACCTCAAACCCCACGCTCCAGGCTTTTACAGAAGAGAACTCTTTCTATGGCTACAGAGCAGTACAACTTTGATTTAGAAAACTGTCACAAATCTCACAGTTTGATGTAGGCAGCAAGATGAAAGTAATAAGCCAAGAGGAATTCTATAGTATCTAAACTAGGGCAACAGAAAAAGCTACTACCATTTTGCCTGCTGATGAAGTGAGTAAATGGAATAAAGGGGTGGGGGCTGGCTGAGTGGGATTAGCACAAACCAAGTAAGGTTTTAAAAGGTTGCTTAACTTGTGTCATTCACATTAAGAAGATACATTCCCCAGGGAACAGCCATTAACCTACCAACAGGGCCAGTAGAAGTCACTACTAGTTGGCTCTGTTTAGTCTTTAACTCTGTCACCCCTGGGATTAGTCATCGTATCTGGTTTCTTAGCAGATGCTCAGAGCAACAAGGAGGATGGCAGCAAACTGTGGTTTTACAATGTAGTAAAAGCAATTGGGGATGGACGTGATGAGGATAGGAGTGCAAGGGTTCTGAGGAAAAGCATACCATTAAGTGTGGCATTGCCAGTGGCCAAAACTATGTACAATGATGTGTTCTTCAGAGCCTGCTTCAAAGTGGTGCCTCTTTATGGTCTTTAGGAACACCGTTGCTAAGAATATCTCTGTGGAAGAAATATGATCCTGATGGATTTCAGTTATTCAGGTGTCCTGTGGTGTGATATAAATCTGTTGATACATTCTCTCAGTTCCTCCTCTTTATTTAAATGTATGTGATGTATCAGAAGTTTCCCCAAATGAATAATATTCTTACTGAAAGTAAGTGAAGAAAGAACATGCTTGAATGTTCAAAGACATTCCCTTTAAAAAGAAAAGAAGTAAATCTTAGAAAAAAGCTTATGGTATGTCTGTGTTTTTTTACAGTATCTGTGGTAGAGTGAGGAACTTTGCAGTTTTAATTCACCATTCTTCACAGTCCAGTTCCTCCTAGTCTTGTCTTTCCTGTTTACTCCCACGGCTGGGTAGGACACATAGATTATTGTGTCCCCACCCCCTTGTTGTTCAAAGGGAAGGGTGATTTGTGCTCTCCTATGCGGAGGGAGCTGTGTCTGTGCCTAATGCTCATGCTGTGAGGACAGAATTGCTGCCTTATCCTTCTCATGTTGCTGCTTCTCACAAAAACATCTCAACAACTGGAATTCACAATTAATGAAACATGATTGTGAGAAATAACTGGGAATATTTTGGATTTCAATTTTGTGAAACATTTCATTGCAAATAAGCAAGTGTTCTTCAGTGAGGAGAAAATGAGCAGGTGATTGCTTATATTCTTGTAGTTGAGAGGATGGACAGTTGCTTTTCCAGTTCTCTTTCTATAATAAAGAAGTGAGTTTTTTTAATCTTCAGGTAAGAGTTGGATTACATCAATCCAAAATAATGATGCAGGGTGTCCACAGAAACCTTACCTTGCAACAAAACTAAGGTGAACATAATATTTAACATATTCATTATTACTATACAGTAAGTTATTTTGCATTTTTACTTTTTTGAAGTGCTGTGGATAAGCTTGGAAACTAGAGGAATGTGGGAAGGCTCTTCACTGGGAGGTTAAAGCAGAAAAACCCCTTAGCTCTAAATTACCATGCAGCAAAGAAAGTAGTGAAGCTGGTTCGGCAACTCCAGTATAATTGGATAACATTTTGCTGTTTAATGTTAAGCCTAAATGTAAGAATTAATCTCTCAAGGTTCTGACAAAGGAATGTAGAAATTATGCAAATGGAATGCTGTGGTGACAATTAAAACAGTCAGATTTCAGCCTTGGAGTCAACATGTAAATTGTGCGAGTGTCTTACAGAAACTGCCCCCTCTTTGTACCTTAACACTCTGTCCTAACATAGGGGGTTTAAATGATCATCAGGATGTGTTTGACCATATCTGTTTTACCAGAGGTGGTAGAATTGTCCTTCATATACTCCATAGTTTTAAAGAATTGTTACCTTGCAATTCTTCATACAGTCAGAGTAAATTGTTTGTGATCCTTGGAGTGATCAAAAATGTGGAAAGCAAGGATTTAGCAGTTACTTTGTCTATTTCAAGATTTATTTTTTAAATATTTATGAAAAAAATGCTCAGTGTATATATTAATTTCATCAACTTTTGCACTGAAATCAGAGAATTTGTTTCCATATGCCCTTTGCTAGATAAAGATCTGTATAAACTTTAGTCTTCTTACCCTTTTTTGTGACTGCCTAGATTACAGCAAGAGATGCATGAAACACCATCTTTACCTTATTCAGAATTGTGTTCACACAATTGAATAGAATGTTTCAAAATTTGCCTTTGAATTGAGAACAGTTTTGAAGCATTTCAGCCCAGAAGGGAGCTTCTATTAAAACACTGACTTCTGGGTTTCAAATAACATGGCCACATCAGTCCCAGCTAAAATGTTACTGCACCTGTACCCTAAATACAATAATAAGTCTTGGTCTGAGACTGGGTAGTGAAAGTGGCCTCCTGTCTGTTCCCAGGGGGCTTTGTCAGAGTCACTGAGAATCTCTGCACCAGCAGCCAGGCACTCAGTGATAGGCCACAAAAGAGAAACTCTAAATCAATTAAGAAAGAGTTTACAGAAATGAGCTGCTGTTACTTGGTACATCTTCTATTATGAAAATAGTTTTGTAGAACTATGGCTGATAGTTTGAGGGGGGAGTGGTTACATGCTTGTTTCTTTTAAAATACATCTTTTTTTTCTTCTTTGATTTTTTTCTTAGACCTCAGTAACGTCATGAATTCCACTTCAAATATAAAGGCTGTAAATGGAAAAGCTGAAAGTAGTGACAGTGGAGCGGAATCAGAAGAAGAGGGGCTTCGTGAAGAGGAAGAAAAAGAACTGCAGATAAATGGAAAGGGTATGTTTTCTGGACCATTGTCTCTGCCAAAGTTATTCTTAACCAACTAAATGGCAAAAAATCCCAAAGAACCATGAATGCTTTTCAAGAGAATTAGGTGCACATACACATGGATGCCTGTGTGAACAACGTCTGTCTCTCAGCCTAGGTTATAAGAATTAAAACTAGTACAAATTTGTGAGCTATGCTGTACAGTTTTTCACTTGCCTAGCAAGTTCTGTCGGTAGGTTAGATAATCATCTGTACCCTTTATTGTTTTGGGTTTTGTTGCCAGTGCTTTTTGTAAGAGCTGTAAAACAGCTACGTGGTCTGTAAGTGTAGCATTGAAAATTACTTTTTTTTTTTCTTCAGAGAAAATAAAACAGAACTTTCAGTGTGACTCATTTAGAGGGTCCATAAAAAGTTTGATGCTGGAAATACCAGCATCTAGTGAAAACCAAATTATATATTTAGAATTCTATACAGATTTTTTCCTCCAAGGACATTAGGATTATTATTTAGTTTAGCAGAGAGACCTGCTTTGGATTTGCTTACTTATGTTTTAAGTATCATCTGCTCTTTATGCAAATTAAATTTTATATTTACACTTTTTACAGGAACAGAACAATCCACACAAATGTAAATCCAGGAGCATTTACATGTTTTGTTCTGCAGATACATTATACATACAGTCCATTAGAAAGCGAGCTACTTGAAGAAATATATTTTGAGCTATTAGGTGCATAGCTTTCTCTTTGCAAAGTTCTCTTGTTCTTTTACAGACTATAAGAATGTGAAACCCGAATCAGCAGCTGCTAAGGATTTGGAAGGTATTGTTAGGAATGGCTGTTACAAGGACAGCTTTATCACAGATATGCAGAATGGCATCCAGACCAAATCTGCCTTGAATGGCTTGAACCCAGAGGAAGAAACAAATAAAGAGGAGCCAAGCCTAGAAATAGCTAATAACAGTGCTCACCAAGGTATTGTCCTTACAAGACATGTTTTCATTTGCACATGTTTTTAATGGAAAATACTCTTTTCTTGAAAGCTCAATCCCGGGATTCAGAGACTAGCAGTGGTATCTCAGTTGCAGAAACCTGAAGACAGAAAACTAAAAAAAAAAAAAATTAATTCCAGTTTAAAATAAGGCTTTCTCTTAGGATCTCCTACAGAAAGAGAGATGAATTGAGAAACAGAGAGGCCCAAACCCACAGAAATAGAATTGTTTTCTTGTATATCATTATGCTACCGAAGTGAATACTATTTGTCTTTGAAAGCGAATCTGTAGTAAAATAAAAATCACTAATATCATATTTATCGTTCTCAGAGGCTGAACATATTATAAATGCCAGTTTGTTGAAACTGAGGTCTAAATATATAGTTTTAAAACTAACATAACTTCAGGCAAAACTGCTTTTTACTGAACTAAGAAAGGAGAGTGGAGTGAACAGGGTAAAATTAAAATTTATAATACAGAAATGTCAGTATGAGGTATAGTTTTCCCACTAGTAAATGGAAAAATAAATATAATTCCTATATTAATATGACTTCTTTATTCCGAATTTAAGTTTAGGATGACAATCATAGATAAAAGGCCTGTGAATTGAGGCTCACATTTTAACTCATTGCTTTACTCTGCCAGGGTTGGCTCAAGTGACTCACATTTACAAAGAATGCGTGCTATCCCCTTTCCCTACAGGTGCAAGTGAAGACAATACTGAAGAGATCTCAGCAACTCAGCACTTAACCAGTGATTCAGACAGTGAAGTTTATTGTGACTCTATGGAGCAACTTGGACTAGAAGAGGTATGGGATTTAGTAGTCCCTGGGTGTATTTTGGAACTGCTATGCTTATTTTTAAATAGGCTCCTCTTGATCAGGTGAACGTAGACATGGAGAGCTAAATGCTGTCTTTCTGTTTGAAATATTGGGTTATGTTCTTTTTATTGTCAGTCTTTTACAACTTGGTTACTGCTGATCTAAAAGCCTTGAAATTTTTGCTCTCAGAGAATGTATTTGAGGGGAAGGGATGAAAAACAACAGTACAAAGAAACAATTGTCAAAAAACCCAAAACCAGTACAAAGAAACTAAGATCTGTGCCCACAAATTAATTTAGGATCTCATAACATATGTAGGGAGCAGAATTCAGCTATTTCTAGGAAACAGGAAGTGTCTTTGTAACAATGAACTTTTTGCTTGTTCTTTTTCTGGCCTGATGAATCCTATATTTGTTTTTTAGAATAAATAAAGAGTAAGCCTTAGCAGGTGGCCTGTAGGCCAGTGCCTAAAAGTGGCCTAGGTCTAAAGAAGTGGGAGATAATAAGGATTTCTGTGTTCTCTTGTGTTCTCTTCAGTCGTAATATATAGCTCTGACTTTCATCTAAAAGGTGGGCACCAACTATGCTGCCATAGTTTTGACTGAATTTGTGCTCCTGCTCATTGCATAAACTGCAGTCTTAGCTGACTTACTGGCTTGGACCTCCTTCAGAGTTCCAGTTTAAGTGTGGACTTCATAAATTGTACTCAAACACCTTGTTTCCTGATTCTGGAGAGGAATCTGTGGATGATGCACAGGATCAGAAAGACCAGTAGGCACTCTAATATTTCATCATTCTCTTGTCTAGCTCTTTCCTGACTAAGCAGAAAATTCTTTTTAACAAATTTTACCTGGTAATGAAGCATGTTGGGAAAGGTAATTTGATAGAAGTGCTACAAGCTGTCTTATCTAGGTGATTTCCCAATCATCTTGTTTATTGTTCAAGCTTGTTTGAGATTGATTAATTGAAGTGGGTGGATAATTTGTCAGTTTCCCAACCTGCATGAGAAAAGTTCTAGTTTTGCACAAAATAACAAATGTTCAGGTATACGTAAATAAATATACAAGTAGAATTATAGATCAGTCAATTCAAACTAGAAGAGGTTCACTTAAATAATTAAATACAGCTTTTACCTGGAACAGATGTAGCTAGCACTCTGCCCTTCAGTTCTGGTGATCCAGGTTTTTGAACTGCTGTGTGACAAATTTGGGCAGCAGTTTCCATTTCTGTGTCCCTCCTTTTGGTTATTTTGGCTTTTCCATGAAGTTATTTTTCAGCTGAGGTCCCCAGTCTGCTTCAACATTTGCTTGTGCAGGTGCTTGTCCTGGCCCTAAACAAAGGGTTGCTTGAGCCCCTGTAAGGCCGTGCTGTTGCAGAATGTGTCACTGTGGCCTGAACAGCTCTTATGTCATCCATTTTTAGTGTCTTCCAGTGGTACCACTGATTTTGAGTGAGAAGTCGATAGAACACTCTGCCTTCCTTTTGTTTGGTGAGAGGTGCAGGTGCAGCCAAGCTGTTCTGAACAGGTTGATAATAAGCAAGGGGATCTCTCTGCCATGAGCACAGACACTGCCTGCTCAGGGTTGCTAATGGCATATGACTTTTAACTGTGTGGCTCCCAAATTCGAGTTGAGACCATTTCACTGTCTAGGAAGCAAAGCAGATTTTACAAGGAAAAACTGAACATTTTCAGATCTTAATGTTCCGATTTAGTGATTGTTAAATATTACTGTATGTCGGAAATATCTAAAGAAATTCCAGTGGTATCACTGTTCTGAGAGTATTTGCTTCAAAGGCCCTTTCAATCTGAAAATGACATTTAGACAATAGTTAGTACATTCTATGAGAAAACAACTGTTCCCCTTAATAGAAAAGTCTTAATTATGGGCAAAATATTTTCTTAATGTGAAAGTAGAGATGATGTTTCTTCCTTTTTGATGGTAAACTGTCATATTTTACAGAATTTAATTACTTGCTAATGTTAATTTGTAGCCCTTGGAGATCATCGCATCAGCTAAAGGATCTTTAAAGCATTCATCCCATTTCTTGGATGTAGATCACAGTCTTCTATTAGAAAATACGGATTTTCCAAGGCGCACTCGCACGACTTACGGGAATCTCCAATCTGGAAATACTGGAGAGGGAATAGCTGAAGAACAAGGTGAAGTCAAATGTGGAGGAGAAGATGGCAAAGCCGGTAATGGGGGCCCTCACAAGGAGAAAAAAGGTGGAGAAAAAGCAGATTTCTACAGTGTCAGAAGAGGGAGAGGTACTGTGCACGCTGTGTTTGTGTTCCCCCTCTCCTCACTGTCGTAAGTTACTGGTGCCTGAGAAGAACTTCCCAACACTGTCCAGTAAGAGAGTCATTTATATAGTGCTTCTGTCCTTCACAGTAACAACAGAAAACAAAATGCTAATTACAGTGGGTAAACTTATATTCCAGCTGCTGTTGTGGCACCTGGGTTTTTAGAAATGTAATCATCAAAACCAGCCTGTGCCTAAGAAGAGCTTTTTTAGAAGTTACATATTTATTGATAAATACATATGCATTTATACCTCTGTGGTGGCTTATTTGAAACCATAGAATAGCTTAGAAAGGTGTGAGTGACACGTTGTTTTGTATATTATTGGAATGTTAGCCACACCTTTGACTGATCCCAATACTATCCATTATGATTCTTAAAACTTAATCATTCTTAATCACATAATAGCCCAGATGTTCAATTTATGTTGGACCTCTGCTCTTTTTAATTCCATAATACTTCTAATACCATCACCTAGGAGCAGCACCATATTCCAGTGATATGATCTGTAAGGTCAAGGATAAAATTATTTTTTCTTGTACAAAACAAAAAAAAGGCAAAAAGTATTTTATTTGTATATAGCATGCCTTTTGTATGGCACCTATGTGTAATCAGATGCAAAAATTCAAAAGAAAATCCAAGTAGAACATTTATGTTTAAAACTATTATGAAGAACATACTACAGTTTAACTATCTCCTCTCTTTTGTTGTTTTACTGAAGTTTGTTACTTGCAGGCAGAAACATGATATGCTAGTTGTAGTTGTATCTAGTTTAAGGGAGTATTGTAGGTTTCAAATAATTACCTTTCCTCATCACTGTATTCCAGTGATCTTTGTTTTCCAGCTGAAGACTGCGAAATTTAGAACAGACCTACACTTGATAATGAGACAGATCTTACTTTCTTTTCACTAGGGCAGAATTTACTGCTGAACTTGTCTGGATGTGAATTAATAGTTTTTTCCTAAATATTTCTGCAATTGTAGGAACTTGAATGATACTGTCACACTGAGGCTGTAGGGAAACATCTCATGACATTTCAGTGACCTCCCAGTGCTTCTGAACTGTCTGAATACAACCTGTGATGAGGAGTACCACACTCCTGGGTGGAAACTGAGGGAGGAAAGTGAACTGTTAAACATTTTTAATGGAGTTGGTAACCCATTCTGTGTTTTATGTTTCTGGGGTTTTTCTGCCTCAAAACAGGGCATAGACTTCAGCCTTTAGGAGATGGTTCCCAGGGTGGCCAGATGGGTAGTGGAGGGGACGGCGAGCGCTGGGGATCTGACAGGGGGCCCCGGGGAAGCCTCAATGAGCAGATCGCAGTGGTGCTGATGCGGCTGCAAGAAGACATGCAGAATGTCCTCCAGAGGCTGCATATGCTGGAGGCAGTTACAGCATCACAGGTACTGTTCTTTGTAGTTATTCGATTACTTTTTATGAAATGTCCTTGGACATTTGTGTTCTTTTTCAGATGAAAATTTCAGATGATGTTTTCTTAAACTGTGAAGACATGTCAGTTACATTCTGTAGTTTAGTCCAACTTAAAATTTCCTATTGGTACCTACTCTCAGGAACACAATTCAGGACTCTTTTACATGTGAGCAAGAACATGTATTTCAACTTAGAAATTAACCATATATTATTTTACTGATCTCTGATCAGATTAATCTTAGCCATAGTTATTGATACACATTACACAGTCGCTATACGTGGAGATTCCATAGTTAATGTTAGTAATACGTGATCCCAGAGAATTTCTTCATCCCTAGATCTCAAAGTATTTTCAAAGGAAGTGAGAAATTGTCTTAATCTTTCAGACTGGTGAATGTTTGCAGGCAGAACTTCTGATTCCATTTTTCAGTTAGCAAGACTGATTCTTCACAGCTGTCTTTCCTCATGAAGTAATCCAGCTTTCTTGGAATTTCACATCATGTACACAAGACAGGCAAAGGAAGTCTTAAGTAATTGTAGATATTTACTGATGTAGTGTTTCTTTTTCCTTCTGTTTCAATGGAAATACTGTGTCTTCAGGAGAATAGAACATGTTGTGAATATAGTTGATTCAGAAACATGGAAATGTTTGGTTTTGTTTGACTTGCTGATACATTCTGATCTACCTGAGAATGAGAGAGCTGTACAAGCAGTATCCTATGGGATGCACATGTTCCAAATCTAAGGCAGCCAGGGAAAAGGATTTATTAAAACCATGATTTTGCTGCATCACAGCTATTCCAGAATCTAATGTTTTGAATACAGATTGATTTTCTTTTTTTGCCTGAGCAATATATGAAGAAATAGTAAAAGATTGTTCTCCAGCAGTTCATGCTGTGCTTGGTACCCATACCTAAGGAGAACCAGCAGCTTCTGTTTCACACTTACATGAATTAAGAAAGACCTTGAAAACCAGCTGCTTTGTTTTTGTGGAAGCACCACAACAGTGTATGGGAATAGTCTTGAAAAGTTTCTGGTACTTTCATTTTCAGGATTGTATGGAAGATATGGAACAGAGTATTCTCTTTCCTTTATGGTGTTAGACATGGCTGTAGCTGTAGCTCAGGGCAGACTAAAACAGTCCTTTGACCTTAGTATAGAGTAGTGTTGAAACATGTCATCATGCAAATTAAGCTGGTGGGATTTCTGCTCTGGGTCAGAACTGGGACTGGACCAGATTTGAGGAAGTTGCAATAAGTTGAACAAGGGGGCCTTCACAAACTGTAAAGAGGTCCAGTAAGTGCACCGACTCATTTTCTAAGACACAAGAGATGTGATAAAAATGCTATAAAGAGTAGTGGAAACATCAGAGGTATGTGGTGAAAGGGGTGTTGCATAGGAGTCATTCTGTGCATTAAACTGTGATATATACAGATTGCAAAGCCTTCACAAGATGAAAAACCTCATATTCTTGTTTTGTGAAGCAGAAAAATTTTAATTGAAGTTTCCTTTTTTATACTTACCAGCCTTTGTTTGTATTTAAAGGCAAAATCTGCAACACCACAGTCAAATTACCAGCCCGCCTCCTCTGTCAAGGTAAAATACTGTTTTTACTATTTGTAAAAAGCAGTGTGAGCTGTGAAAAAAGATGAGCTGAATATTTTATCTCTAGCTCTTGGTATGTGCTTTTTGTATTGTCTCTTCCTTGAGTAGGAAATAAAAAATAATCTGTCTGAAGAAATTACTTGATAGATTAACCTTTTTTTCTGGTATTATGTTCTACTTTGGTACTGTAGCATTTGAAGTGATTTAGAATTATACAGGTGGTATTCAATATGTGCACACAGATTGCTGACTGGAATTTTTTTCTGTTTTCCTTAGAAACCATCATGGTGGCCCTTTGAAATTTCTCCTGGTATTTTAGCTTTTGCTATTGTATGGCCATTTATTGCCCAGTGGTTGGTACATGTGTATCTTCAAAGAAAGCGAAGGTAAAGACTTGCATTCAATAGGACCCATTATACTGTGTTTCACCCGTTTAAACCAACATATAGTATACTGTGTTACTTAGGGCATAAAATTCTCTGCCTTGAAAGTATTGGTTAATTTGACTTTATATGTGGTAGGCTTTACATGTGGCAACTTAGGCTAAATCTGTGAAATGTGATGCAGGATAAATAATTTCAGTGAGCATACACAAGTGGGTGAGGCTGGATAGCTTGGAAACATCTCCATGACATTCTTTGATCTCCTTACTCCTGATATCCTCTTGAGCCATTTTCACTGTTTCTAGAGTTCCCAGTCCCCTTGTGCCATGAGAAATTTTTTTCCTATCACATCCTTTGTGGAGTGCCACCTGTCACCTATTTCTTATTTAACATCTACCAGTACCTTACTGTGATATTTTTATATCATCTACTTTGATTTCCTTCAGCTGAAGGACAGTTGTACTCTCATCTTGCCTTTTCTCTCAACTCTCCAAGCATCAGAAGATTGAGTGTTCTCTAGTGGCTGTCTACTTCAGCCTCACACCTGACTTTGTTGGCTCAATATGCTCTTACCTTTTATGTTTTTTCCTCTGTCAGTCTGCAGACAGTTTGCATGTGTGTAGATCTTAGGAGAATTAGCTAAAATTGGTTTAGCTTTTTGATGTTTGATAGTTTTCATGGTATAGTTTTCTCTCACACAGTAAATCACAGAAACACAGAGTGGTTGAGGTTGAAAGGGGGCTCTGCAGCCCATCCGGTCCAACGCCCGTACTCTACTAGGGACACCTGGATGGAGCTAGTTGTCCAGGACTGTGTACAGACAGTTTTTGAATATCTCCAGGGAGAGAGATGCCACCACCTCCCTGGGCAACCTGTGACAGCGTTTATCTCTCCTCAGCGGTGCTCCAGTCCTTTAATCATCTTCATTGCCCTTTGCTGGACTCTCTCCAGTTTGTCCGTGACTCTCTTGTACCCAGAAGTGGACACAGCACTCCAGGTGTGGCCTCTCCAATGCTCAGTAGAGAGGAAGGATCACCTCCCTCAACCTGCTGGGAGGATAATGCAGCCCGCAATACCACTGGCCTTCTTTGCTGCAAGGGCACGTTGCCAGCTCATGTTTGACTTGGTGTCCCCTTGGATGCCCAGATCCTTTTCTGCCAAGCTGCTTCCCAGCTGGGCAGGCCCCCGCATGTACTGGTGGCTGGGATTGTTTCTCCCCAGGTGCTGGCATTTCCCCTTGTTGTACTTCATGAGGTTCCTGTCAGCCTGTTTTTCCAGCCAATTGTGGTCCCTCTGGATGGCAGCACCACCCTCTGGCATATCAGCCACTCCCAATTGTGTGTAATGTAGAGATTGCTGAGGGTGCACTCTGCCCCATCATCCAGACCATTGCTAAAGGTGTTTCATAGGACTGGCCCCAGCACAAACCCCTGGCATCACCGCTAATTACTGACCTCCAGTTAGACTCCTGTCACTGATCACCACTCTTTGGGCCCAGCCCATGGAACTGTAAACAATACACCACCCACAAAGGCTGCAAATCTGCCAGGGAGTTCTCCTGGCTCAGAGCTGTAATTGGGAGCGTTGGTGGTACTGTTCTGTCTGATGAAAGAGATTGCACTACTAAGGCTTTCAGGCAGTTATGCACATTTTGCTCATTTTCTCTGCTCGTTAAATGGAGATTTCCATTTCATCAGCAAGGACAAAGTTGGTTTTTTTAAATCAACACAGGTTTTTTTAGTATCTTATGTGAAGCTCTTATGATGTTTTGCTAATTGCTCTTGCATGGCCATGTTCTCTTGCCCTCTCTTTGAACAGTTGCTGTTCTTGCAAACCTTTTTTGATATCTGTTCTCCCCTCTGTAGCACCCTCAATCCATTCACAGGTTCAATCAGAAATCAGTTGTTAGAAAAGCACCCTTACCAGCAATTTTTCTAATATATTGTCCTAGTGATTCAGAGCTAGATGAGTAAAAAAATGGTACATTACTTTTAGTTTGGATTTGTCTAGCTTCAGTTTTCATTCATTGGATTTTCCTAGATCTTTATCTACTGGACAAAGAGCCCATGGTGTGTTTTCCATGGGTACTTCATTGCTATCACCAAGTCATCTTGTGGTCTCTTTCTTAAAACAAATGGAGCAACTGGAATCTCAGTTTGTTTTCCAGTCTTGGGATGATTCTAGTGGCCCTTACTCAAATCCTTCAGTTTTTCAACATTCTTTTTGAGTTCAGGATTTGTACCACAGTTTGTACCACAGTGTGAGACAGATATAGCACAGCCCCGTGTTTTGTTTACTCATTCATGGATTGTACAGAGATGAACCTCAAGAACAGAAACTAAAGAATTTTCTGTGTTCTTCAGCTTTTCTCTCTGTTTCTGACAGTCTGCCCATAGCCAGAATTTAAGGACTATCTGCTTCTTCATCACTTCTCTGTCTGGAGTTCCATCTCCTTTAGCAATGCGTGGGAAGTTGATCAAGTACACTCAGTGAGAAAACGGAATTGCAAAAACAAGTCCTTCTTTGTTGTCCCATTGCCAGTTTCAGCTTGTACTCTGTTAAGGTGTGCAAGCTCTTAGGCAACACCTGTATTGTGCCTATATTGATCATGTCTGTGTACTTTTGGTTTTAAAGTACATAAACTGTCCTGGAGCAGAAGCCGGGAGTCTGAGCTACCACACGAGGTTTTCTCATCCTGCAGCTGTGGAGCCATAACTCTTGAACTCTTTCGCACAGTGGAGCAAATTCCGTGGAATTGGTGGAGGGATGGCTTTTTGTAACCAACAGCTTTGTGTTTAGCTCATGTGCCTGGGCAGGGGTAGTTAAGCTCTCTCCCAGCACCTCTTAACCTGTCTCCTGCTCCTTTATGGGGAACTTAATGCTGAAAATCTTGGTACTTGTATTGGAGCCTTCACTGAAGAAGGCTTGAAAACCAGATCACAGATAGAAATATATTTTTAATAATAATTGAGAGTTGTCTGGATTCAGCTCATGGTTTTAGAACTCTCTAATTGTATGTTTTCTGGAGTCACTGGCAAAACAGCTCCAAAGTGTTGCTGTGCTGTGAGCCAGCACACCACTGACTGATGTGGTCAGGCACTGTTCTGAGGAATTCCATCTTCAGTTCAGAGTTCTTAGTGAATTTTGTACTTGAAGCCATGTAATGTTTTATCTGATTGGAAATAATGTACATGTAACTTCAATTGATTTGTTTGTTTAGACAAATGAAAAATTTTCTCATATGTGAAGGTACATTAAACTATTTGGTTCCTCTTCTAGAAAACTGAACTGAGAATTCATGGCTTTGTATAAGGACTTCTAGGAGAAGATGGCCCTGGAAAGCGAAGGAATTCTGAATTCTCATAGAATCTCAGAACCTGGGATGATCTTCCTTATGTTACAGTAATAATTTGTACTACCTTTGAGCTAAACATTTAAGGACTAATATTATTGAAACTTGAATGATTCACAGCTCCTAGGTTGCAAATAAATTTAATAATTCCATCCTCAAAACCATATGAACATTAATTATTTTGGAATGTGCTTGTGAATGGGCCTTCAGTAATTACTGGCCTTGCTGATGTCAGCTGAGGAAGAGAATAACATCTCTGTAAAAGAATAAGTTAAAAATATGTAAAACTATCACTTTAACATAGAAATAATTTTACAATCCCAACTTCCCTGCCTGTTTTTCCACAGGGTTATATAATACCAGGTGAAAGCTCTAATAAAGTATGAATTCAATACGTTGCAAGCTGTTGGAAATATACAATATAGCTCTGAGGAATCTACTGGTTATTTTTTGCTGCTAAACAAGTGTGGGGCAAATTTCCACATAAATTGGTCATAAATGAAGTTGAATCCTTCACTTACCCTGTAAAATTGTAAAGGCGATTTGGGAATTTGTATATGTTCTGAAAGTTAGAGCCATTAATAACAGGGGACTGTCAAATACAAGTACAAGTTTGGACACGCTGTGTGGTACAAGGGATCCACATAAAGAGGAGGCTGCACCTTATCTTTTTAACTTAAATAATTGTACTCTTGTTGACAACAGCTTATTTTAACTGAAATACATAGTTTAGGCACAAGGTGCTTTAAACTGAGATGAAAACTAGCTCTGTAAGTCTATCTCTAAGCTTTTAAAAAGCTTAGTGCACTCTAAGTTTTCTGTTGTCAGGTTGCATTAAATTGAAGTAGGATTTAATCCATTGTGGACTTTTCTCAAGTCACATCTTGAAAAATACCAATTCTGGTATTTCTCTCTTATCCTTCTACTTACTTTCAAAACAAAACTTTTCAGCTAATTTTGGTGCTGTTATTTTTTTCCCCCCACAGAGTATTTATTAACCAATATACAGATAAGAGTTACAATTCTGTCAAGTTTGCTTGACTAAAGCATGCTTTACACTTGATTTTAAAATAAATTAATATATAAGTTGTCTAAATCTCTGGAAAAGGCAAATGCACTAAAATTAGATTTGACAGAGAACTTAAGACTTTGCTATAAAGAATTATACCACAACATAATCCATGGTTAAGCTCTGAATCTTCAGAAACTTCATGATTATTGATGAACTTTAATTCTCCACCTGGACTACATATTACAAATAATTTTTAAGGAAAGTTTTTTTGTCCTTCCTGAAAATCTTTTATAGTTTGGAAAACATTTTTCATACAAGCTATACTGTATAAAAATGTAATCAGAGAATTTAATGTTTGTTTTACCCGAGAAATTTTAATCTTTTTAGTTACATGCAGGGTTTTTTTTAGTTACATTTCCCCTCTTCTGATTTTCTTACTGTAAAGCTGAATTAAAAATTAAATAAAATGGTTGTAATCTCTTTGAAGACTGCTGTAACAATTAGATGGTTTTGTGTGCCAGAGATGAGTTTTTGGCATGAGATACACTGAAAACACAGGTTTGAACAAAGCTTATCCTGGAAGGGAAGTGCTGCTGTGACCTGAAGCCCTTGTGCCCAAGCTTAAAGTTCCTAGAGTGATTGACTTTTTACCACAAAATATATAAATCATACAGGAAGGATACTCTAGCTTGAAGGTCACATGAAAAATAACCCCCCTGTCCTGTCTTCTGCCAGGACAAAGCACCCTGGAGAGCCTCCCTGGCTCAGAACCATGTTACACATAGGTATCAAGCTCTTAGAGATGGGACAAACATTCCCAAGGGTACTTAATTGTTAACTTGCCACTGAAATAAATGTGGGCTTGTACTATCCTTGTTATTTATTCATGTTTCAATAAATCAATCCCTTAATATTTTGTATTTTATCTTGAACTTTCTTAATGTTTACTAAATGGTGTACGTTGGATGCTGGGACTGTACAGAAGAGCCTGCTGGCTGTGTCATGAAGAATCGGTCTCAACCTTAGAAGTTGTAATATAAAACAACATCACTTTTGCAACAATTTACTTGTAACTCAGAACTGGGCCTCAGCCTCTAGGGCTATCTCAAACTCACTGTGACTGGAACAGATTCCTAGTTAACTGGTATTTCAGATTAAAGGTAAGGAAAACTGTTGTTTGTTTGTTTTTTTTTTAAATCACCTCTCCAGGTACAAAGAGACACAGCTTTACTGGGGAGGAAGTGGCATAAGCAGATCACTGGAGCTCAGAACCGGTATATATTGTTCAAGCCTGTGCTCTCCTCAGGAGGGCTGGCACTCAAAGCAGTTCTGCACAGCACTGAAACATCTTCGCCCAGCTCAAAATTGCACTTCTGAAGCAAATGTCAAGCTGGTTTCCTGCAGTGAGTCAAGCTTCATTTAAAAAGCAGAGGTTAGCTCTGTATAAAACCAGATTGGAGACATTCCACCCACTAAGTGTTGATAATAGAACCAAAACAGAGCCAGATGTGTGTTCATGGTGCAGCTGTTCCATGCTCAGGGCCTTGTTTCTTCTCCTCCTCTGCTCCTGTGGCTGCACAGCAAGTGCTGAGGAGATGAGCATCTTTTTTTTGAATCATTCTAGTTACCACAGAGGAGGAGGAGGCTCCCAGAAGGCATTATAGGCCAGCTCAGGACTTTGCTCTCCTGCCATTAAGTACACAAATGTAGCTTCTACTAAAGACTGCAGACACAGGTTAGCAAGTTATGAACTGAAGGCCATGCACGCCTGTACTAGAAAGTATTTGTTATTTCCCTACACAAAATCACTCCTTGCTGAGGTAGTAGGAAACAGAGTTTCCTTGTGTAAAATCCACTTCCCACATTCCCAGCAGGGTCAAAAGTATACCAGTTTAAAGAACAACAATATTTTATTTAATACAACAGGTTTTTTTCTCTAATATATTTACACAAAAGCGTGCAAAGTAAATTTTTGAGAGGAAAAGAATGCATTTCATTCATTTAACCATAGGTAAACCAGATCATGCTGAAATTGGAATCTCCTAACTCAATAAAACAGGGCATTCAGCAACTTAGCCCCTGAACATTGCACTGTACAGGGGAACCCAACAGCAAGTGAGTGGTAGGAGTAACTGTCCAAGACTGCTATTTCTGTATAACAAAGTGTGACACTGATCTCTGAAGTAGTTCTTAGATGGACAGGCCTGTGCTAATGGCAGGTAAACTGTCTCCCAAGATAAACTGGAAGCTACAGTTTATATGTAGGTTATGCACATCAGGTTTAGGCCTTCAGGAAGCACCATGTAACAGCTGGAGTACTTGCCAAGTGATATGTTCCACAGTTTCTAAGGATCAGAAACTTTTGCCAGCTTACTTAATTATTTGTAAATAATTACTAATGAGAATGAACCTTAAATCTCTTCCAGGTACGACAATATAGCTTTTTGCACTTTTACCTGTAGTATTTCAAGTGATGCAACAAGTGGGGCAAAACTAAAGAGTTGACAAGGAATTCCATGTTGAACAACAAAGCTAAAAAACCACCAACCACAAACAGAACCACACCACAAACCCCAGCAATTAACGTTACACTCAACTCCATGTTTGCTATAACCAAGATACTGAAGAGAACAGGGTATTGCACATCTTCAGTGCTGATGGTGCAGAATTTAAGTTTTGGACACCAGTGTAGTGGTAACTTCATACTAAATATTTGGATTTGTCTGTTGGTCTATTTACTGTTCTTACAGAATCTATATTTTTGTACTGCATTAATCAACAGGCAGAAAACTAACAATTTTCTTTTAGAATAAGGTTTTTACAGAAGCTTACTTGACCTTTGTGACTGATTCAGAACTGTTTCAAGGGGTTAGAGGTTTTCTTTAAAAGACCATACCACTGCAACAAGTTTTTCCACCTTGATGGGAACATGTTATACTGCAAAATGGGAACAGGTGTAACCATTTGTAAAGCACTGAAGATAAAGTGCTGGTGTGGTGTTCAGTTTATATTATTTAAATCAGATTACTAGAAATGGAAGAATAAATTTTATAAAACACCAGTGATTACATACCTTAAGGTATTCCTCCTACTCCAGTTTATATATTCCAACTGTACAGCAGAAACCACCAAAGAACTTCTCATCGCATTCAGAGAACATTGTTTATGGATACTGCTTCAGTAGTGCATTAATTTGTTGACACCTTTTTCATGTAACAACTTCTAAACTGTTCAATCTCTTACCTTTTCTGAAACTGCAGTTTCTGAAACTCCTTAACAAAAGGAGCGAGAAAGGAGTGAGACTCACTGTATGTTTTACAACATGTTTGAGTTATCACACCTAGAGCTGGGATTGGTCATTCTTAAGAATTGCCTCTCTTTAGGTTTTTCTAGCAAACTTCCATTTTCTTTGCCTTTCCCAATCCTTTCCCAGCAACCCAAGGGGACAGCTCAGAATTGCATCAATAAATCCTGTCTTCCAGGAAGCAAGGTAATGGAAGGACAACTTGCTACTGCTACAAAAGGGGTCAGTGCATGAAACTACTTTTGCCACTTGGCAAAAATCACTAGTAAAATGCTCATCTGGCATATGGCCCTTGGCTGGCACCATCATTTAGCGCAAGTGATCTTTATCTAACAAGTACAAACTTGAAAAATTAAAATCTTCATTCCGTTAGCAGAGAAAGATACCTATGCAACAAAAATACTGAAGATTATTTAAACAGGATTATCTAAAAATAAACCTCTGAAATCTAGCAGATACAAGTTTTGTGTTGCATTTAAGATAGATTAAAGGATAATTATCCCTAATTCAGATTTATAATACTGAATATACGCTTCTATCTTACGTTCTAGTAAAAATCTAAGCTCTCATTGTGAGTTTGCAGAACAATCTGTGAGTTTGCAGTCTTCAGTATCTGGCAGCTTCAGTATGAATACTGCTTCACTTGTTAAAAACCAAAATCACCTGTTAGCTGACATCTGACATGAGTGAGCACACACACACTGGGCATTTTCTAGGTAAAACTAGTAACTGCTAAAATGTATGTTCAGTCCAGCTTCGTACAGCCCAAGTGGTTACAATGCAACAATTTGAGCAGAGGATTTGTTTAACAGAGTTAAAGGAGTACTTCCAACCCAGCCTGTCATCACAGCAAACCACCAATAGATACAGTTAGTATGCATTTTTGTCCTTTCCATATTATGCTTAGCTGGGAAATAACATCACACCTCCTAACTGGAATTACTCATTGCTATGCAAAAGCCCCATCACTGTCAAGAGTTACCAGCTCCAAGACATTCAGTGCTCTGGCTTCTTAGTAAGGTGCAGTGAGCCCACAAAGGCACTCGATACCAGTTACATACAATAGTTTCACTTTAGAATAAAGGAGACTATAAAAAAAAGACTGGTCACATAAAACACACTAAATTTGGCAAGGAAACTTAGTTAAGACCAAGCTAGTGTTACCAGATAACCTGTAAGTGTGCAAAACCATGGAGAATGTTCACTTATCTTGATGCTACAAGCTAAATCCAGACACAGTCAGGTGCTGAGCGTTATTCCTTGCTTCAAAGTAAGAGGTATCAGTTTCATCATCCGGCTGAGGTATAAACGGCATAGTTTGATTCTGCAGATTATCCCAGTCCACACCGTGAAAGAGGGAGTGATGTTTCAGCTCTGGAACAGAAGTTCACATAAGCATTATAAACTTCCTTATGGCCAAGCCCCATAGGCACTTTGTTCTGTTATGCATAACTGTCACTAGATTTGCTCTATATTCCTTTTTAGAAATTCATAGAAGTGCAAATTGCAATTGAGCTTTGGTTGCCCCCAACCTCAGTGGCATCAAACTGTTGTCCTGCCAACTAGCTACCTTCCCCTATCCAGGGAACCTGTTCCACACAGAGCAGATCAGAGGTGTCCCAGAGACATTTCTCATGCTGAGACACCAGACAAATTCTAAGCATCATTTCAAAGTCTGTTTATAATTTTACCAAAGTTCTGTGCTGAGTAGACATGTGGGAGTCACTTCCACCCATCACCACTCCAGGTCCTCTTCCTTTTGCTATCTCATGGATTTCATTACCTCCTCTGCTTTGCACAGTCCCCTTTGGCCTAACACCAGACACAGAAGTCTAAATGCCCCTATGGTAAAGTTACCACAGACCACTAGATTTCACTTTCCCAGCCCAAAGATGGGATAACTAACCAAGCTGCCAGACTTTCTGACTCAAGGAGAACTCCCCTGCCCTGTCCATTCTGACCACAAGGTGACCTCCAGGCATACAGGTTCTGATATGAATTCTGCATAACATGGAAACACCAGTCCCTGATGAAAATGACTTTGCTACTTTGATTCAATCCAGTAAGACACCTTTGCATCTAACTGGGATACAAAGCCATGTTTTTATCACCTGCACCACAAAACTCATAAGCAAATAGCAAAAATAGGACAGGTGAAAAAAAATTTAAAAAAAAAATCACATTTGAAGGAGGTGGAAATTTGACCAAGACACTCATTACAAATGTTACATCTAAGCACATACCACAGGCTTTTAGCTGATAGACAGTAAGACATTAACATTTATTATTTCTGCATTTCCTGAACAAATACAACAACATAACATTAAAAGTTTATTTTAGACAAAAGGCAGAGTGAGTCTTTTAACTCCTTCTAATGGCTTCAGCAGCTACACAAGCAGCAGGGCATTGCACAGATCCACTGTCTCAGAACTGTATGTAGTTCTGCTCTTAAAGTTCTCATGCACCAGAAGCTGCCTTTGGCCAAGAAGGTAAAACTAAACTTCTTTGTCTCTTCCCAAGATATTCATGTGTACCACAGCTGGCACTCAACTCCTGCTCACAAGACTGAAGAGAGGAGCAAAACCCAAACCAACACCAGATACCAGTGTTGTCTGCCAAAACCTGCTTCAAAGCTGCTTATCTGGAGAGATTGAACTCATAGAAGCACAGCAGTAGGACATGACATAACTAGGGTTTCTCAGTAAGTAAGGCTTCATGCTATAGCAATAAAAAGGGAGAGCATGTGTTTTGGGGAGGGGAGAGAAGATGACAGCAATAGAAACTTAGGTACAACAAGAAAAACTTAATGGTTGTCCTGAAAACTATTCATCCAACTTCATGTCAGTGGCCTATAAACTGGACAAAGAGATCAGATCCAGTTATAAGGCTTGACAAAGAATGAATTTCCAAGAATTTCAGATTGGAAGAAACCATTATGCGATTTAGTTTAAATTTCTATCCTTGACAGGCAATTGGATTTCACTCCAAAATCCAGGAATAAAAGCAATAACTTGTATTTGACTAGAACACCTTCAAACTGCTTTTTGGGAGACATTAAAGCCACAGAATTTTCTGTTGACATCATGACCTTCATTTATACTCATGTGCCTCCTCTAATTTGATCTGGCCTGGTTTTAGCTTCTAGCATTTTAATCTCTTTAGAGTAAGACTTTCCATAGTCATTTCCTTCTCCAGTGATTTCTTGCATGGTTCTCTCATAAGATTTCTTCATCTATTTCCAAAATGTCTCACTCTAAGCTTCCTTCATGTTATCTATTTTTTTATATAACATAGTCACTGTTAACAACAACAAACATTTAAGTCCTTCTAAAAGGGGAAAAAGAAAAATATATGTAGACTTTGTATAGTATATATTGTCCAACTCCTCTATGCATTCAAAGACAGTCTGATTCCTAAGTAAAAACTTCTTTGAATTAACTGTTGTAAGAGGATTCTCTCCCAGACTGGAGCCAAAACAGGCTTTTAATCAAGGTTCCCAAAATCATTTAGGTTAAGAACTCCAAGTTAGAGTTAGATAAGAGAGAACTTTGGTAGATCAGATGTCAAACACTAAACATGCACTAAACCTAATTAGGCATTGAAGTTTATCAGTCTAAGTTTCAGGAGGAGGACATCACCACTTTGAAATTTGCAATTAGTTGCAAAGAACACAATTTTAATACTAACCTTTCAGTCCAGCTCTCTTAGTAGTGTCAATTGTTAGAAGAATATCTATTGCATTTTGGGCATTATCAGACAGCTTTTCTTCACCCTCAGGCCAGGGAATATCTACAAAGATGCAGATGAATTGGTAACTCAAACTATAAAACAAATATTGGAAAAACATAGTTACCCTGATTACTGAAACAGATTACCTCTTTTCAAAATATTTTGGAAAACCTGTGCTGGTGTTTCATCATTAAAAGGTGGAATTCCAGTTAGAAACTCAAACAGACAAACTCCAAGGGCCCACCAGTCTACAGCAGAACCTGATAAGAGAAACCCAGGTCATTACACTTACACAAATAGTATTTGCAAAGACTTGAAGATTAGCCATGGCAGAAATTGAAGAGTGTTTCAATTCTACAAATTTCTTGAAAATGAAGGAAAAGACAAAATAAGTTGTATTTAATATTCATGTAGATTAAAAACACATTAAAGGTTTTTTTAAAGCCACTCTGCTCCTTAATTCATTATAGATAACACTGGGTTTACTAATAAAAGCTAGTGGACTCTTATTAACAATCTAATTATCAACTCCCATCAGAATCCAGGAGCTGACTTCTCCAAGAGATTGTTTTGTGATAAGAAACAGCTACCTGCTCTAGACCTGGATGAGTGCTCCATGTTGTAGCCTGTATCTTTCTCTCAGTTCTTTGAGAAGACTTCAAGAATTCAAACTATTGAACATAAGTTTTCATTTGCCTAAATTTATGTGAATATCTTGAAGACAACTTACAGAGATAAGGCAGCACACAAGATGCTGCAATTGCTTTTCATTGAATTGAATTGATTAGGGTAATGTGTAGTTCCTAGCTATCTCTTCTTTATTATGAAATAGTTTTGGTTTTCCACACTGCAGGGAGGTATTTTTGTCAATCCCATTCTAATAATCTACACAAACACAACCCAGTAAAGCAATCCCAGGCACCGCTGCATGCATTCCAAGCCTTCTGCATCTTTGAGCCATGCCCACTCCACTGTATAAAGAACAGATGCCAGAATAGATGCTGTAAAACATCATCTTTGAAAGGCAGTAAGTCTAATTGCTCTTGGATTTTTTTGCATATAAAAAACATTAAGACACCTCTAAGTTCAGAAAACAAATGTTTTGAGCCATTTCACGAGGACTACTGTTAAGTTTAGAGATGCTGAAAAGCAAAATGTTTAACTAGTAATCTAATGCACTTTTAGCAACTTGTAACAGTGGTAAGAGTGGCCCACCAAGCCAAGCACATCGCAGCAGTGAGATCACACTCACACTTGTTAAGAGTTCTTGGATGTTCAGTTAAAACACTCCCAGCTCCAGTCAAAGTCTAATAAGATCACAACTCTGAACAATGTAGTAACACAGGTTTCAGCAGGGATTTTTTCTACACAGAGTTTAACTAAGATTAGATTTACTACCACTGTATCCCTGCTAAACATGACGCAAGGAACAGCATGAAGTTATGTCAGGGGAGGTTTAGATGGGATATTAGGAAAAAGTTTTTCACCCAGAGGGTGGTTGGGCACTGGAAGAGTCTCCCCAGGGAAGTGATCACAGCACCAATTTCAAGACAGAGTTCAAGAATTGTTTGGACAACGCTTTCAGGCACAAGGTGTGATTCTTGGGGTGTCCTGTGCAGGGCCAGGAGTTGGACTTGGTGATCCTTTTAGGTCCTTTTCAACTCAGGATATTCTATGATTCTGTGATTTGAAGCAAGAAGTAGAAATATGAGGTCTTGAGCATCTGAGCCTTCTTCACCCATAGATAAAGTAAATCAGGCTGACTACATAACCTAAAAGAATGAGAAAAAGTGTCTCTGGCCTACCTCCCTCCACAATTTCTTTAAGAATGCTGACTTTCCTTCTGAAGTATATGCTTACATGTATGATTTCTGATAGCTTAGTCCCACTGATACTGATGTTTCCTGAATCTGTGTGGGAGCATCACACATTTTTATGTGGAGTGCATATTGGACATGTCTTTCTATATAAGAACATTGTTCACCCAAACAATGTTCTTGGAAATTGTGATCTAATTATACTTTGACTGTTCAGTTATGCTGAACACCTCATTCCTGCACAGAATATAGAAAACTCACCAGAGATCACAGTCCCTGCATATGAAAAGACAACGAAGTAAAAATATTACAATTATTAAAAAAAAAAAAATCTAACAAATATAAACATCAAATATCATGTATGATTCTCTGAAAGCATTGGAATGCAGTTTTTTTCTTAAGGTAGTAACTCCACAATAAAGAAAGATGGCAATGTTAAATCTAAGTTAGAAATAAAATAATTCTGTAACATGATTAATTTAGGATTAAAACTACATTTACAAGCAACTCAACAACACAGGAAGTGTTTAGTGAGGGAAAATTTGGAGTTCTAAAGCCAGAAAAATGTACCTTCACAGAAGGTAATGGGTAATGGCAAAAGCTAAGCACTAACTATTTTTGAAAAATTCAGTATCTTGTTACCTGGAAGGGTTTTCAGTTCTAGAGACACTCAGAAATGTAAATATGTCACCTTTCAAGAACTGACAAATGTCTGGTTTGTCTTACCATGAGGCTTTGTCAAAAGCAGCTCCGGTGCCAGGTAGTCTGGGGTCCCTAGGATGCGTTCACCTTCTACTGGGGCAGCTCCTCTTCTTACGCTCTTTGGAGTCCGATATGGTGTGCCAGCATCCCCCTGACGAGGTGTCTTAAAAGATGCAACGAAGATTTCAGATGCCAAACAAAACCAGCTGAGAAACCCCCATCTCCAGGTTTAGTAATAGATATAATAGTTGTTACTCAAGTTTAAGTCGAGAACATGTCACAAAATATTCCCTGAAAAGTGTAAAACATGTAAAATGTGCTTCCATTGCTTTATCTCAACAATCTTGAAGCATAAAGTTAAAATGCCTATTCTTCAAGAAACTTATCCCTAAGTTCTTCCTCCAGTGTCAAATCCACAGCAGCTATTACTCTTTACATCAATCTTTGTAATAGGCTTGTAACTGGCACTTGACAATATACATTACACCATCACTTTTACCAAGATAAAAAAAAAGGAAAATAGTGGGCACAGTGGCAGCTACCAGCAGCTGAACAGCATTTACGGACTGTCTTGTGAGGGGTGCAGGATTAAAAAAGAAAAAGAAAATAATCGAAGACTTCCCATTACATCAGAAAACCTGTAACTGCTCAAAGGAAATACCACACTGTATTGAAAGTAGAATGAGAGAAAAATAGCACAGGCTTTTTTTATCAGTTCACTGTAACAGCAATGGATTTCTCAAAGAGGTCAACAGTCAACGCATTTTGAGCCGCAGGCAAACCAATGAATAGTTATTACTAAACTCTTACAGAAATGATAAATTTGGCCACGCAAGTGCAGTAAGAGAAAGCCTGTCAGCAAAAGTCACTTTGACAGACTATCTCAAACTACTTGAGTTTTCCCTAAATTTACAATTTAAATAATTTCAAGTTGCTAATGTTTAACACGTGCACGAAGTTTCCATGTGTCTCCTTACGTACCTGATAGGTCTGATACGGCCTTCCTTTCTGTGACGGAGTGATAGCTGTTGGGTAAGAGCCACTACAAGCAGGTGAAAGATCCATTATATCTAAAGAAGCCATGCTACATGGCTCAGATACATTGGACATATTAATTGGACTATTATAACTTCGAAAAACAACAGCACTTTTTTTTAAGAGACTCAGTGCTTCCATCATCTTTTCTGAAGGAGGAGATACTGTGTTAAGGTAAGCTCCTTTCTGGTCATTATCCTTTTCATGATGTAACAGCTTGCAGTCCTGGACTGTATGTGCTTCCTCTCGACTTCGTGAGGCATCTTGGGACTTTGGTGATGTTATCAGCGTACCTTCAGGTTTTGGCTCCTCAAAGGAGAGGTCTTTAACACTTTTGTCCAAATCTAAAAGCTGTTTTTCTAAATGGCTTTCTGTAACAGACATGTCAGTAAATACATCAGAATCTGCACTGAGGATTCCTAAAGGTTTTTCATCGTCAGTGTCTAAAAAACTTGAGTTCATGTACTCCTTTTCATCATCCTTTCTGTAGTCTGCATCCAGATCACACATAAGATTTTTGGCTATAGTTGGAGTAAGTGATCTTTCTGTTTGTTGGTTGCTAATAGAATACTTAGCTTCCTCCTCGCTTTTGCAGGTGTCACGTGGGCATCCATCATTACAGAGCACTAAGGACTGAATTTCTGTTGTCAAACCTGTCCTATTGTTTGCTGGAAATTCTGAGATCTGACAGCCACGCTTATATTCTGCGTTGCTTTTCTTAACATAGTTAAGTTCCTGACAAGGACTGGTATCAACTAATTCAAAGCCTCTTTTAACACCTGGTTTTTCAAAAATTTCTTCCTCTTTGAAAGGCTCATTCTGCCTTGAAGATGACTGTTGTGGACTGGAAGTTTCTGTTGTTTCATCAGTTATCTTTCTTTTATTTACACAGACTTTTTCTTCCCAAGTCTTTTCAGAAATACATTTTCTTACTATGCCTTTAACATCCAGTGTGGTCATGGGAGTATCTGTTATATTTGAACGTTCACTTCCCAACTTCTGCCTACAGCCAGAATCATTTCTGACAATGGGAGAAATAGCGGACTCAAGTTCGTTTTTCTTTAATACTTCAATACTTTTGCTATTTGGTAACTCAACGTTCGAAGGGAGAGCTGACCCACTGTTATTTGTTTTGCATGTTGCAGAACTAGGTTCATCTTCACTGTGCTGCAAGTGAGCATATTAAGCTTTAAGTACCAAGAAAAATAGGATTACAGCACTATAGAAATGTGTACTTTGAAATTCTTGATTTTCACTTCCATAATGAAATGCAGATTTGCAAGCATTACTTATTCTAACCACTACTAGTGACAAATATGACATAACATTTAAAAATAAAAAAGTCAAAACCAAATTAAGAATAACTTGATAATTGGGCTTAAGAACATAAAATAAGCTTGCTATAATATAGTAGAAAATGCAGTATTTTTAAATGCCTGAGGATGAAAAAAATACAGCCATTGAAGTTGTATTTGTCATTTTATGTTAAGAAGTTGAGCTACAGAAGTTTTCAGTTTCCAAGAAAGTCCAAAGCAAAGAACTTCATCGTACTGCCCTGTGGCACATTACACTTCAGAGATGACAAAAGGAAAATCTGATATTACTAATATTTTGATAACACAATAGTAAAATCAAGGCCTTGAGAAACAGACAGATAAAGAATTATAAATTGTTTTAAATCTAAGTTTTTCTGTATGATCTAAATAAGAATTATGGCAAAAGACTACATAGCAAAGCAGCATTTTCTTTTAGGTCTGTATTTGTACAGAATTTCATTAACAGTTTAAAACAGGAGAAAGTGTTTTGTATCAGCTACAATTATTGGTGTTAGGTTAGTTGATACAAAACTCTTCAGTAATAAAAAACTTTAAACTCTTTCGTTTTAACAGCTAGTAGAAGTTTGAAGTGTATTTTTTTTATTATTTTCCCAAGTTCTGTGTCTTAAAGAAATGATTTTGTCTGCATGCTGAGCAAATAAAGCTCTAGGGATAAGATCAACTTCCAAATAAGCCACGCTCCCAGCATCGCTCACCTGTGCAGGGCGCAAACCAGTGATGCCCAGTAAAAGCCTTCCCTTCCACTGCTTTGTGGCAGGCTCTAACATCTGCTTTTCCTATTATGTTACACAGGCCTAATATTTGTTTGAAGAAAAAAATTGTATCACTTTGATCCAAAATCCTACTCAACAAGAATTACAACCCCTGCTCCTTTCTCTATGGTTGAAATAAGTGTAAGTAAGTAGAGGAGATTTGCATACACAAGTACAAACTAATTTTAATTTTTAGTGGGAAGATGAAACAGTCCTGACCTCTACATCTTTCTCCCACCTGGGGCTGCTGCAGCATTCTGATTCCACACTGGACAGGTGTGTGTGTGACTCACTACTAACACTGCAAGTACCAAACCTCTTTCTTGACTGAAGAAGAGTAGGAGTCAAACTTCTTGCTGGCATCACAGGCGTTAATTGAGAATTATCAAGATCTTGAAGGAAAAAAAAATTCAAATGTTGATAAAATTTGATACAAATTGACCGGCTTCACACTATGTCAAGCTTTCACATCCAAGGAAGTATGGAAAGCTTTCCATGACAACATAATTTCTCTTGTCATCTTTCCCGCATAGTCAATTTACACCTTTTTTGAATTAGGGACTTGCCAAGAACGTAAAAGCAATATTACCAGCATAGTCATCTTCTTTCTCATTTCAGGTTAGAAATGAGAAAGCAGCAAGAAAAGACAATTTAAAGGAAAGCGCTCATTGCTATATTAAATAATTTTCAATGAAAGTATGTCAAGAACTGACACTTTTGTGGTGGTATTGAATTCAGTGCTTGTGATTTGAAAAAAACCCAAAAAACTATCAGAAGATGGCATAAGTAGCGTAGGTGAAAACATGTCAGAAGAAAAGCACTGGAGGAATGGTAGACACTGATAGTAGCACACCTTCTATGAAGTGGGTCCAAACTACTAACATAAAATAAAAAGACCACAACCTTAGAGCCAGAGTATTCCCTCAGCACAAGGCTTGGTATACTCACGTGTTTTGAATAATTTAGTTGAAAGAGGGGTATTTTCCTTCTGGACCATAGGTAAGGGAGAAACCACTCCATGCAAACTGTCAGATGATTGACTTGAATTGTGCGCTGGCATTTTCATTCCAACAGGAGAATACTAACAAGGAGGAAGAAGCATAGTTAAAAATAAATGGAGTCTGAACAAACACTCAATCCAGGGCTGAGAATGTAACTTCACACAGTCATTATTATGTTTGCATTGCAGCTTGGGCATGCCCATTTACCAGACCTTGAAGCACAACTGATAGTCAGCAACTCAAAGTATAGACCAAGGTAATCACTTCAGAACTTTAAAGTACTGGAAATGTATAATAAGTCATTCTACCACCTGGCAGAAGAGATGCAAAAATAGCCTTATCATGCCAATTATTAAATTTGAGATAGTAAGTAAACTAAAAGAATTAAGTACTTCAAAGACAGTGACAATTACTTACAAAGCCCAGAGAACTGATAAGAGACAACAATTGTCCTGGAGTACGTGAGTAGTCCTGTTTTGGCTTTGCCATTGATGGTGTAGTAAGGATATCTATCATATTTATCTCTACAAAAAGACAAAAAACAACCCCAAAGAGGTCAGGTTTTCATTTTGCTATTAAAAAATGGCAAAGTTGCAGACATTTCCTTAAGTTTTATCAAGAGGGAAAAAAAAGTCGTATGCACAACGAATATACAAAAGAAGCCACCAAACCCAACTGAAGATGTACCTATACATTCTTACTCAACACAGGTTGTTTCTTCCTGTACATCCATCATAAAGTTATAGTTTATACATGGAGAAATTGTAAAAGTCCAAATTCTTTTCCAATAGACTATGCTGGAAGTGTTACATTTTCTAACTTGATACCAGCTTTGGTTTTTAGGCAGCAGTTCCAGCCTATGGCCCACAGATAAGGATGGTAAATTTGATTCAAAGCCTGCCATCTCTCCAAAAGACATCTCAAAAAAGTTACAGAAGAATTTTTCATAGGCGAAAACTCAACTTTAGATCCTTTTTTTTTTTTGCTCACTAGCAGTAAGTAGGCTTATGGCTTCCTTATCATGTTCAATTAAACACAATAATCTCTGCCATCAGAACATCACTTAAAGCAGTACATTATAGAAAATACAGCGTACTTAGGATTTTCCTTCATATTCTTAAAACAATGAATGAGAAACACCATAGACAACTCCAAATTTCGGCATTCCTTTAAATATTTAAAAAGGATGTACCCACCAGCAGCTGCCTCAAAAAAACCTGAGCTAGTGCTGTGCAGCATAAGTTTGGACAATCTGGCTAAGGGGTTGGAGTTACAAACTAGTTCAGAAATTGGCTATTCACCTTAAGACCTAAAGCCTATTACCTGTGCCAGGCAGTCATTTGACTATTCAACTATATTTACTGCTACTTGAAAAGAGAATGTCAAAGCACTGATTTAATCTTCTGTTATGGACCCCTGTCCCTCACATTAATGTCTGCAACACCTCAGCTAATTTATTGGAAATTCATATATACAAGGACTGAGAAACACAAACTGAAGGACAGGAGTAGTCAGAAAAACACCAAGAAAAAGCCAGTTATTCATTTACCCACTGATTTCTCTCTGTGAACTTCAGAAAACTTTGAAATCCACACCCCTCAAGAGAAATGGCTCTAGATTATATTTCATACAACCTTGTTCCAAAGAATAAATATTTTACCTTCTGAAGTGCAATGTACAGAGGAGACCCTTTACTAGCATGTAGCTTATTTGTACTTGCCTGCTAGAAATGAGATATTTGTGCAAAATTTGCACTTATTATTGAAAGCTGCCCTCTACAGAGATGCAAAACGTTGGGTCACATGTGACCCAAAAATACATTCTAATACAACCAAAAGTA